ATTGAGAAAACCTTTTCTTAACTTTTTATAACATTGGTCTCATACAATATCTGTCCTTCTGTGACTAATTTCACTCAGCACAGTGTCCTCCAGGTTCATCTATGTTGTCAGGTGTTTTATAGTTTCATCATTATTCTTCAATGTTTCCTATTATTCCATTGTGTGTATGTACCAAAGTTTGACAATTCTTTTGTTGATGGACATTTAGGCTGTCACCATATTTTTGGTGTGTCTGTTGTAGAGAGTATATTGAAGGATCCTGTTTTCTTATCCATTCTGCTCTGTCTCTTGACTGGTGCATTTACTCCATCTACATTCAGTGTAATTATTCATAGGTCTGAATTGATTGCTGTCATTTTGTGGTACTGCTGGTTTCTTTGTTCCACATAATTTTCTGCCCTGAGTTCATTCTGTTTGTGGCTTTTCTTTTTTATTTTATTTTTTGTTGCGTTAATATTTACTAAATTCTTCTGATTTTCCTTTTTAAAATTCTGATGTGCAGATGTATTAACTTTCTTTGAGGTTACCCTGTTGTTTATTAGTTTTTTTCCCCATTAAAAACAGTCTTGAAATCTACTTGAATTCCTTGCAATTTGGATGTTCTGTAGCTACACTATTGCCTCTTTTTGCTTTGTAGTTGACTTAATTGTAAATTGATATCTCTGGTTTCTGATTTTCAACCTTGTATGTTTGTTTTACTTTAATTGTTTCTATATCTGGATTGACTTTTGGGTGGTGTTGTCAGTATGGTACTTTCAGCTTGTTGTATGCTGTTGTGGGTTCTCAGACCAAAGAACATTCTGTAGTATTTTTTGTAAAGTTGGTTTGTTCATTTCAAATTCCTTTAATTTCTGTTTATCAGGAAACATCTTAATTTCACAATTGTATTTGAGGGACAACTTTACTGGGTATATGATTCTTGGTTGGCAACATTTTCTTCCAAAATTCTGTATATGTTATCTCATTGCCTTCTTGCCTGCATGATTTCTGCTGAGTACTCAGAGCTCAGTCTTATTTGTTCTCCTTTGTAGGTAACTTTTTCTTTTTCCAGAGTTGCTCTCAGGATTCTTTCCTAGTCTTTGGTTTTAGAAAGTTTGATTATGATATGTCTTGGCGACTTTTTTCTAGGATATGTCCTTTTGGGGTTAGTTCAGCTTCTTGTATGCTTATCTTCTCGTCTTTCATGATGTTGTTACTGTTGTCAGGTGCCCTTGAGTCGGTTAACATGTGTTAATAGTGACTCTGAATATGGCTTCCAAGGAGCAGCTGGTGAGCTTGAACTGCTCACCTTGTGGTTCACACTGACTTTGCAGTCCAGTGCATTAATCCACAGTGCTACACCAGGACTCCAGTCTTTTCAGGAGCAGTAAGCCTTATCTTTCTCTGGAGCAACTGGTGGGTTCAAACCCAGTTGCTCCAGACCTTGTGGTTTGAAGTCCAGTGCTTTATTGTATAGTTTAAATCCAATAACTCTTTGACCAATTTCTGTGCTTTTTAATTGTCTCCTCCTGTTCTGGAATTCTGATCACCTGTAAGTTGTTCCTCTTTATAGTGTCCCACATAATTCTTAGGCTTTCTTCAGATTTTTTTCATTCTTTTTTTTGGTTGTTCTTCTAGCATATTAGCATTAAGAGATTTATCTTCAACCTCACTAATTTAAGCTTCTATTGCTTCAAATCTACTCCTTTGTACTTTCAATATATTGTCCATTTCTGAAATCTTAGTATTAATCTTCTAGATTTCTAATTGCAGGTTTTTATTGTTTCCAAACTTGTTTTTATTTTGTCTGTTAGCTCCTGTAGTGTTTTTATGAATAGTTCTGAAGTTTTTTTCTGTTCTCCTTTCTTTCCTTAAGCTATCTGTCACTCCTTTAGTGTTATCAAAATATTATTCTTTTGCATTTTTTTTTTTTCAGTCAGTTCCATTGCCTTTCCTTCTTCAGAAACATTTTCTGGCTCTGCTCTTGGTCATTTATTTGAGCCATTCTCTTGTTTCTTTGTGTGACCTAAACTGGTTGTGTCTGGGGCACTGTGGGATTTTCATATTTGTATTCAATTGATGATTGTGTTTTGATGTATTTCTTAGACACTCACCAACTGTCTCCTGTGGGTGTAGTTAGAAAATATAAGTGTGTACACCGTTCTTGTTCGTCAATCATGCACCTCAGTTTAGAGTGTGTTTGGCTGGTGTTGGTTGTTGTCTATCATTGATCAGGTGGTATAGGAACTGGTATTAGCTCTTGCCCAGTGTGTGGAACTGTGGAAGCAATGGTTATGGCTGAGGTATATGGGCATAGTTGTGGTCTCCTGTGGTCAGGTGAAAAAGAGAAAAGCCCTTCCATACACACACACACACACACACACACACATAAGAAAACAAACAAAATAAACAAACAAGGAACCAACAATGAAAAGTAAAAATAATAAAGCAAAAAATGAACTTAAAACGGCAGCAACCAGAAAAAATAGAATAACAATAAAGACAAAAAAGTTAGGACAATGGAGCTTTGTTGTTGTTGTTATGTGCCTTGGAGTCGGTTCTAACTCATAGTGACCCTGTACAGGGTTTCCAAGGCTGTAAATCTATACTGGAGCAGAATGCCTCATCTTTCTTTGTGGAACAGCTGTTAGTTTCAAACTGCTGACCTTGAGATTAGTAGCCCTATTCATAACCACTATGCTACCAGAGCTTTGTTGTTGTTGTTAAGTGCCGTCGAGTTGGTTCCGACCCATAGCGACCCTGTACAGGGTTTCCGAGGGTGTAAATCCTTACGGGAGTAGAAAGCCTCATCTTTCTCCTGCGGAGCAGCTGGTAGTTTAGAACCGCTGACCTTAAGGTTTGCAGCCCAATTCGTAACCACTACGCTACCAGAGCTTTAGAAGAGAAAAATAGGAGATAAAATAAAAGGAAGTAATAAAAAAAAGGAAACAAAAGCACGTAAGGGTTACTAAAAACAGAAAAGAGGGACAGGAAAATGAAGCTATACAAGAGAGAAATAAGAGAGGCAATAAAAGGATAAAAGGAACAAATAATTTAAAAAGTGTAATACTTTAGAAAAACCAGGGAGAAGGAAGATGAAAAGAGAGAGACTCCCACTTTTGAACTTTCTGTGCAGGGTTGCTGTTAGTCAGAACCAACTCAATAGCACTTAATAACAACAACAAATAACTAATAAAAAATTACTTTTCTAGGTTTGGATTGTACTGATATTAAAGATACCATTGGCTCTGTTACCAAAACACCAAGTGGTTTATACATAATCCATCCGGAAGGAGCTAGTCACCCATTTGAGGTAAAGTTTTCGCTTTTTCAAAACCAAAAACCAAACCCCGTACTATCAAGTCGATGGCAACTCTTGGTGAACCCCATGTGTTACAGGGTACAACTGCTTCATAGGGTGGGCTTTCTTGACGGTCATCTTTATGGGAGCAGGTTCTTGGTGAACCCCATGTGTTACAGGGTACAACTGCTTCATAGGGTGGGCTTTCTTGACAGTCATCTTATGGGAGCGGGTGTCCAGGCCTTTTTTCTGGCACTGCTAGGGGTTTGAACTGCCCACCTTAATGCAAGTGATATGTGCTGCATATGGACCTTTCTCCTTTATTATGTGGTACACGATAAACATCCAAACAATTTAAGCAGTATGAAAATTTAAATCGCTTCAAAATTTACTTGTTTCCTTGGAGAATTTTTTTTTTTTTTAATATTAATTAAAGTTCTGGTTTCAAAATTTTGTGGGGTTTTTTTTGTGTGTAATTCTAATTCCTAAACCAGTGAAAGCATTAGGTAGTTTATCTTTCACTTTGCTACCTGAGATTTTGTGGTTGTACTCTTTAAAGTAAATCCATTTGGTACAGGATCTTACCTGTTCTATGTATGTATTATATAATATATTCTATATATTACCTGTTCTCTCTCTCTCTTTCTCTGTCTCTGTATATATATATATATATATATATATATATATTTTCTTTTCTATCTCTATCTATATATATAATTGGTTGTTTGGTTCTGACTCATAACAACCCTGCATAGGGTTTTCTAGGCTGGAAATCTTTACAGGAGCAGAAAGTCTTATCTTTCTCTCACAGAACAGCTGGTACTTTCAAACTGCTGACCTTGAGGTTAGCAGCCCAACTTGTAACCACTACACTACCAGAGCTCCTTTATATATATATACTTTGCTATACTTGTTTTACCTGTGGATATTAGAGATTATAGATATTAGAGGTTATGGATATTACCTACAGATATTAGAAAATAATTTTGTGCATTGGATTGGGGCTTACTAAAAATAGTTCTGATTTCTTACTAAAAATAGTTCTTACTAAAAATAGTTCCTATATATATGGTTACATACAGTTTTCTTTGAGGATAAGCAATTTAAATGATTGTGTAAGAAATTAATAGTTTAAATAATGTTTTGCTGATGTATTGGGAAGACTGAGATGCAGATCCAGTCTTAGATTGAATAAAGAAATTGTTATAGCTCTCTCCTTAATAATTCTATGCTACAATTTCTAGCAGAAATGTTTACTAGACATTATGTGTTATTATTGATATATGAATATTTATGTGTAGTTTAAATTTTTCTAGGCACATAACTTTATGATATTGATTGATACAACTTATTGATACTCTTTACGAGACAATTAAAACTTTTTCTGAGTAGATATTAACAGCTTCTCTTAGATTTACTAAGGTTACTTTTTGAATTCTAATTGACAAGATGTCAAAAAAAATGGAATTAAGCAGGGAATTACTTAAAAATGATCTAAATCACTTCTCTTACAGATTTGAAAACTTGCTTGAACAGCTGTAGAAGGGAAAGTCTTCTAATTTTGTGAGGAGTGAGATGAATAATTACTTCTTTTTTTGGAAAGTGTTGGCTCTCTGACTTCTTCCACATTGCCTTTCTCTGTCTACATGTGGGAAGTTTCTAAAGAAGGGGAGTTCTCTGGTTTCCCCCTCAGATCACTCCCCTGGATACTTACTGGAGTTTTCTCAGAGACATTTTATAGAGCACTCACAGCTGCATCTATGGAGCTTGCTGAGATGGGGCACAGGTGTGCCTTTCAATCGGAAGATGCTCATCGAACACAGGCCTTGTAGACTTGTTGGAGAAAAGAGTAATAAGAGCCAGGCATATTTAACACTATAAATAACCAGTATTTTAAAAGAAAAAATAATTTACAAAGAAACATGAAGTGGGGTTTCAAAAAGTTCCTGGAAAAATTCTAGTATCTTTAAATTCTATTTGTTCACAGCTTTTTGAAGCCTGTCTTAGGCTGGGTTCTCTGGAGAACCCAGAGAACCCAGTGAAATATATGTACACGTAGAGAAGTTTAGATAAAGGAAATGGATTACACAGTTGTAGAGGTGGGAGAGTCCCAATTCCGGGTCAGATGAGGCAATCTTGGCAGGCAGGCAGGTTCCATAAGTAAGAAGGCAGGCTGCTGGTGGCTCCTAGGATTGGCATGTGATAGAGCAGGTGACTTGTTCAAGTCCGAAGAACTGGGGGTCAGAGATGAATCAGATACAAGATCCAGACCCAGCAGAAAGCAAACAAGCTTTCCCTGAGTGTCTAATATATTGGAAACAGGCCACAACCCCAAGGAAACATCCTTTCAATTGATTGGCTGCTAGTAACAGAATTCATCATAGAGTAAATCATGGGGATAACTGCCAAACCACTGAAAATTCTGGCCCAGTCAAGTTGGCACAAAACCTTACCTATCACAAGCCCCCTTGTATATATGCTATACGGCCATATCAGATCAGTACTGTTATTACTACGTTAAAGCATACTTTCAGCTAGAGTTAAGGAATGAAAGGATAACCTTCAAATGCTATAATCATTTATGCATTTTAAAAAATAACTGATACAGGAACTGAAATTAGGTAAGCTACAACTTTATTTTATACTTGCTATTGTTGTTAAGTGCCATCGAGTTGATTCTGACCCATAGTGACCCTGTATAGGGTTTCCAAGGACCAGCTGGTGAGCTTGAACCACTGATGTTGCAGTCCAAACAACTTTGCAGTCTGATGCATTAGCCCACAGTACACACTAAGATGTATTGAAATCAGATTATATTAATAACATACAAAGCATTGAAAACTTTCAGTGGAAATGACTTCTCTTTCTCCAGGCTTAAGGATGAAGTATAAGCTTTATAATATGAGTGAGGAATGAAAATAATATGGTATTTTAAAATTTTGTATCAATTTTAGGTAATGTGTGACATGGACTACAGAGGCGGTGGATGGACTGTCATACAAAAAAGGACTGATGGAGTAATCGATTTCCAGAGGTTGTGGTGTGACTATCTGGATGGATTTGGTGACCTTTTAGGTAAGATTTTATGTGCGTGTATTTCTCCTGTATTCTTTCACTCCTTTTTAGTGTAACTGCTAGAGAGAATTTCTTTATTGATCACAACTCTGATAAAACAGGTCAAATCCTCATAAATATAAAAATATGAGTGAAATAGCTTTTCTGTTATATGCCATAAATAGATCTTTGGTTGTGATCTGGATGTATTTATTTATAGATATCTGTTGCTATAGAGTTTGAAGAGTCTGAATTGAGAATTTATTAAGTACCTTCTGTACACCCAGTAGGAACCCCGGTGGCTCTGTAAGATAAGCACTGGACTGGTGGTTCTGTAGGATAAACACTGGACTGCTAACCAGAAGGTCAACAGTTCAAACCTACCAGTCACATGTAGTAGGAGGATGAGGCTTTCTGCTTCTGTTAAGATTTACAATCTTGGAAACCCTGTACAGGGTCTCTATGAGTTGGAATTAAGCAGATAGCAGTGGGTTTGCTTTGTTTGGCTTTGTGCATCCAGCAGGGTTCAGTCACATTGCTTACCATCTATTAATGGAATAAAAAGCTGAGTGGGTATGGTACTGTATGTAGATTTAAAATTCTCCAGGTGTATGTTGTGTCTGTACAGCAAAAGAAAAAGAGAACTGAGGTACACTGCTATAAAGTTAAAATTATGTCAACTGGATGTAATATTTCACAATTATCATTGAAAGTTACTATGTTCAAAGTTTGAAAAAAGTATTAATCCCAGGTGAATTATAGATATTGGTTTATACCATCACCACACAACACCACCACGTTTGTGGAGGAATAGAAACATCAGTATTTCAGAATCTTGCAGAATTTTACATTAGTTAGAATTTCTGCAGGCAATTTATATAATTTTTGGTAAATTATTGCTATTACAATTTAAAATCTTAAGCTTCCCACATCCAAGGGGTCAGCAAGTGATGGTGTTAATTCTGGGGCTAAACCCTCTAATAGATGCCAAGATTTTAGAAGAGACGTTGTTGTTGTTGTTATGTGCCGTGGAGTCGGTTCCAACTCATAGCGACTCTGTACAGTTTCCGAGGCTGTAAATCTTTACCGGAGCAGAAAACCTCATCTTTATGTAATAAAATGCTACAAATAGCTGTCTTGTTAACATACTTGCGTCTTCTCAGTATTACTTCCTACAGAGTGCTTCCCTTTGAATTATGTATATTTTTTACTTCCTGTTTATTCTATGAGGAAATGATGTGAGTTTTGAGTAAAAAGATTTTCAGACAGGTATTCTTCATATAAACTAAGATTGTAATTGGTATATTTAAAAAAATAAATTGGAAATGAAGGAAAATATTAAGTCCTAAATGGGGGATCTAGGTAGAGGGGAAAAATGCCAAGGACACTTAAATTGGGGAGTTAATGATTGAGGGAGTAAACAGAGCCTCAGGGACCTAGTTTACTATGTTCCCTTTCTTGCTGAATTTCTCTAGGATGTTTTTCAGTTTTAAGTAAATTGTGTAGCTTAAATCTGCCTATAAGCCTTGGAGAGTTATAGTTTTAAGACTTTCGCCTCTATCAAACTATTCTGAACTTCTAGAATTTTGTTTTAAGGATATATCACATAACAATGTTGTACGCATTTAAGGTATGGCATGATGAATACGAGGCAGATAGAAAGTTGTTGGCTAGCATATGCATGCAAAAAGTAAGTAGTCTGAGCTAAGAAATTTAATAATTCATCTGGGATGTACAATTCTTCTGGAAATGTTGAGTAAGCCTGGGGATACTCCAGTGTTGACACATGATGTTTGCTGTCATAGGCAATTAACAAACTCCATTATAGCAAGCACTGGACTACTAACTAAAAGGTTGGCAATTCAAACTCACCAACCTCTCCTTGGAAACCCTATACAGGATCACTATGAGTTGGAACCAACTCAACGGCACTTAGCCACA